TCACTTCTCTGTATAAAATTCCCCAGGGTGTTCAACAGAATGTACTTTGAATAAAATGCATACTTTATGCTATGAACCTGGCCACCTCTCCGACCTCATTCCTGCCACTTCATCCAATTGCCTGAGTCCAGCCTCCCTGGCCAGTGAGTGCCTAGCTTGCTACTTTTAGAGACAACCCTCCTGTGTCCTCTGCTAGGAAGTTCTTTCAAATCTCCACGGGGCTGGCTCTTTGTTCCTCAAGAATATCCTTACAGAGGGCTTCCCTGACCAACTCATATAATGTAGCCCAATCACATACTGTCATATCACCCTGTCTTGTTTTCCTGATGGCAAATTTCACTACTGGAAATAATCTTATTCACACATTTGTTTATAGTTGATTGTGTTTTCACTCTCTAGAAGTTCAATGACAGCAAGGACTGTGGGGAGTCGCAGTGTCCCCACAGTGTCTAACAGTGCCATGCAAAGAGCAGCCACTCACACATTTAAGTAAAACTGAATGAGATTAAAATATTGGCATGTAAGTGGATGTCCTAAACATCATGAAAAGAAATTATTGCCTGATATAAATTATACATTAACCTTTCTTACTGTGATTAGCCCCATAAATACCCATAACAAAATGTTCTTTTTGTCTACTAAATCTTGGCTTATTTCTCTCTCTGTACTCTAGCCCTAAAATGTTTTATTTTCACTCAATTTAAATTATTAAGTCAATATACGTGACTTTTAAATCTACCTTTCTAGTCCCGACCCCTCCTTTTCCCTGAATTCTGGCCTGCCTCTACATATCTCAACAATTCTACTTCACTTTCTGCCATCACGTAAAATTCAGGCTATGGAAACCTGAAATTATTAATAGCATCTCTGAGCCAAAATCAATTTTTCCTTCTGTCCTTAATACTTTTACCAACCATCCTCCAAATACCCAAATTTAAAAGCTAGAAATATCTTGATTATGAAATTCAAGAACTAGAAGAGAGACTGGTGGACAAGTGGTCTTCAAGCGTTTTTAAAGCTGTGTTAGCCTTTTTTAAAACAAAAGCTTACCCAGAAGTCTGATACGTAAAACAGATGAATTTGCAGTTGTTCTGGGAGTTAAACTGGTAGTCTCTGAAGAAAACTTCAAAAAGAACTACTAAGCTGATCCAAACAACTTCTCCCTTACACACACACACACGCACACACGCACGAATGCACCCACACAGAATTACAGAGCAGAAAATGTAAGTCCAGAGAGCTTAAATATTCTTTGCTGGTAAGAAATAATAATTCTGCCCAACACAGTTATCACACAGAACAATGCCTAGCACATAAAAACAACTTAGGAGTCAAGGTTCTAAAAGATCAGTATTACCTTGATACTTATATGCATCAGAAATGTTATCAGTCATTGCAAAGTGATAATTTTCATGCATGGCTTTTATAGGGTGATATGAAAAGAAATCTTCAGAGTTTAGAGGATAACTGCCAGCTTCTAATTATAGCCATATTTACCCACTTCTAGTGAAAGAAGTCAAACAAGAGTCCAATGAAAAGACCTGTGGCACTGTGAAAGAAAGCCAAGTCTCGATTCCATAGCCATTCTAGCCTCACTTGCTCTTTCTGAGCATGGATTTCAAACTCTCTGGGCCTCATCTTCTTCATCCTCAATATTGTTAATGTGTGTGATGACATGCTAAGACTTTTTCAATCCTAAGTCTACGATCTGCTATCACACTATTCTAAAGTATTTCCCTTGAGCAACTACATCTACGAAGAATCAGTATCACAAGTTAGAGGCAATTTGGAAAAAAGCCAATAGTCCTACAAAGATTTCTTGAGTGTCTATCATATACCAGGTACTCTGCTGGGCATCTGAAAACCAGAGAAAAAGAAGGGACACTATCTCACCTCAATGAGATAACAGTCGAACAAGGAAGCACCAAGCAAGTAATCATATAGCACCGAGGTGGACACCAAAAGAGGAACACTCAGAAGCCGGAGAGGCAGAGGTAAGGGGGCTTCTGAAAGTCTGGAAGGCTCTGCTAGGTTGGAGTAAGTGACAACTGACTTTGGATTTGGATAATAAATACGAGTTGAGTGCTCAGAAAGAGCTGGAGGACGTGCTGTATGTGCCAAAAGATAAGCACATTTTAAACTGCCTTATACTTTTAAACAAATAATAATAAATCAGCATTTACTGCAATAAAAATACTTTATCAGGCCATCTCACAGAGTTCCCAAAGCTTATGAGGAAAAATTTAAGTCAATTTCCTTTTAATAAATATTAACAACTGGAACATTTTGAGAAACATACATAAACAGGCCATGGCAGCACGTCACTCAGGGACAATAATCTAACAGGGAATTTTAGACAACCTGGCCTAAATGCTGGGCAGCACCTGGCAGACAAGGTGGCAAAGCCCCTATAAATAGTGATGATTCACTAACATGACATAAATCAAGACTTTAACTCGCCAAAAACTAACATTTTGATTTAAAAACACAAATCAGTACCATTAAAATTCATCAGCGGCCTCTAGCACATGAGTAATGAGATCATATCAACTTATATCATGTAACTGAAAAGAAAAGGTGGTTTTTCGAAATGGTAATTTAGATTGGACAAATAACACACTGTATCAAGTTTTGTAGCTCTAGGCCATATTTTGCTAAACACAAAGGTACATTATGCATGACTAAAGAAAACAGTGAAAATCAGAGCAATTAATTTCCCAGCTACGTTTTCCATAAAAAAGACATCACTACTATGATCTGCTTACAACACACAAACTTTTTCGTGTGGCACAATGATCTAAGTGTGTAATAACTTACATATTTCGCTAAGATGTAATATCCTTCAAAACATCCTTATAATGAAAGTTTTCCAAAAACATTATTGATCCCCGGAATGTGTCATGTTTTAAAATTACTGACAAATCCTTTACTATTTTCTTTACAGTTAGAAATAATTCTTCTTGATCACCAGAGTGTAAAGAGGTATACAGTACAAAGAGTGACTATTTCCTTACATAGAAACGTCCTAGTTGACACAGGACATTTCCCATAACTTTCCCAAAACAATAATTAGGAGAGTTGTCACTGGAATCCTAAAAATATATGTAAAAAAACAGAGATTCGTTGGCATCAATCTCGCACAGCAAGAGATTTCCACTAAGTGGTTTTTAAAATTATTTTCAAACACTTTTCAGCTGAACCCTCTCACTTCCAGTGGAGCCTTCTGTGTTTCTCTGCAGAACTCGGGAACCGTTTCTCAGGTGGCTCTGCTTCACTGCAGACAGGTTTAGCATTAACACATTATCTGTTGGAGGCAATGAAACGGCTCTCTTCCGCCGTTTTTTTCACTGGCACCTTTGTGCCCGCTCGTGGTCAGAGACCTCACCTTGGTGGAAAGGTGGCTAAGAAAAGAGCAGTTCCTAATAAGGAAACTTCAGCGTTTGCACTTAGAACAAACAGCAGGACCCCGCTGGAGGGGTGCAGCTCTGAGGGAGTACGACCTGCACCGCAGCGGAGAGGCTCTTCTCCAACACCGCAAAAGACAGGCGGAAACTCGGAGCCCAGACAGAAAGAGGGACGAGCAGAGAGATGCGCGCAGAGAGCAAGAGCCGGGGAGCCGGGGAGACCGGTAGCAGAAAGCTTCTTAAGAGAGAGACATCAGCAGAGTGTGGGAGAGTGACAGAGTGAAGAGGATGTGGGGACAGACGAGGGACACACTGGGAGAGCCAGAGCAGGCGGTGGGGAGAGGGAGACCGCGGGGCTAGGACAGCAATAATGAGAGGAAGGCAGAGAGGAAGAAGAGGGGGAGAATGAAAGACCCAGAACTTGAGACAGACAGACGAGCGGGCGGGGGGAGACAGGCAACGTTAGCGGAGACGGAGCCCGGTCCGAGGCGCCGGGACCAGCCCGCTGCGCACTTTACCCCGCGGCAAGGCTGGGTCTCCGGAGGCGTCCAGGGCAGGTGGCTCGGCCCGGGGCTAGGTGCCTGCGGGTCCCGCCTGGGGTGGCCCTGGGCCCCCGGCCCGCCGCCCGCCGCCCGCCGGGCTCCCTCCCATTTCCCGGATTCCGCGACTGCCCTCAGCTAGCCCTCCCGCCCCATCCCTCCGCTCGCGGGTCCGACTCCCACCGACTCCCAGCCTCGGCGCGTCCCTCCTGCCCCAGCTCCGGAGCACGTGTCCCGCCCGCCGCCGCCGCCGCTCGCCTGCGCGGGCACGAGGCCTCGGGGTCCCGGCAGAGCCGCCCGCGCACAAAGCCGAGGCGGCCCCCGCCCGACCCCCGCCCCGCCGCCGCCCCGACCGCGCAGCCCGCCCTCGCCCTCGCCCTCGCGTGCTCTGTCCTGCCCGGGGCGACCGCCGCCCAGCCCCGCACCCGGCCGCCGCCCGTCCCGCGCCGCCCCTCGGTCTGCCCGGCTCCCTCACCGGCTCCGCCGGCCCCCGCGCTCTCGGAACTGGGCCACCCGCAGGGCACGGGGCCCCGCCGCGCGCGCCTCACCCGCGGCTGCGCTCCCGGCTCCGGCGACCTCGGCGCCGCGGTCTCCGCTCTGCCCGGCGCCCCGCGAGGCCCCGCCGACTCCGCGCCCCGTGCCCGGCCGCGCCGTCAACTTCTGGCCGCCGCGGCCGCTCCGCCGCCGCCGCCGCGGGACTTTTTTTTTCCCTCTCGCTCCTCGGCTGCCTCAGGAATTTTTTTTTTTTCACTTGCCCTCTCCAGCTCCCACTAGTGATTGGAGACTGAGAGCCAAGTACTTAGCGGAGGGATTACACTTCTCAACGCACTTGGAGCGGCCCCAGCGCCGCCGCCTGTGTGCCGAGCGCTGAGCGGACTTGGGGAGCTGCGGGGTGCGGGATGGAGACAGCCGGGGTCGAGGGGTGCGCTTCCCGAGTCCCTTCCGCTGCTCAGAGCATCCCCAAGATTTCCATCTTGGGTGCTGTCCTGGTTGTTTAACAGGGTTTCCAGAAAACCTCTTGGTTTGAAGAACAAAGATTCGTGTATGTTGTACCTTGAGAGCTGGAAAGGGCTCGCAGAGATGATACAATGTGGATTTAAACTTTTCAGGGCCATAGACACTCTTCAGAAATTGATAAAACGTTGACACACCTCGTAAAATATGAACACATCAAAATTATGCCCGCAGTTTGAGGTGGGAGTTTTAAGAATCTTGGAATATATATAGTTGAGCCTCCAAGGGAAATGAAATATTTCCTTCCTACATATTTTTGAAACCGTTCAACGAAAACTAACAACCAAAAAAAGAAAAAGAAAAGAAAAGAAAACCCATTCCATTTGTATTTGATGACAGTTTACAGTTAGTCGTGTTTCTTTTGGAAGAGCATGTAACGTCTTATACTTTGTGGTCTCCTTGCGAGGTTTTTGAGTGCTGAAACACTTTCTAAGTGGGTAAACACAAAGTAAGCTGGTTCACAGTCAGAAGATTTGGGGAGAATAATTAACCTGCTTAAAATCAGCCATTTTGCCAACTCTCTTTCCCAGGGAGGTATCTAGTGAATTCCAAATACTCTTTTCCTTTCAATACCTTTCAGCTCCCACTCTCCAGCATTACTTATTTTCTCCTTTTGTAAAACTTTTTTCTTCTTCCAACATATTGACAATCCCTCTCTGGTCACCACCAAGTGTGTGATCTAAGTCTTTTTTTTTTTTTTTTTTTTTTTAACACTTTTTCGCTCTGAAGTAGCTTTCTTCATATCTATTTCTATTCTTTATTCAATTCTTAGCCTATTTTCTTTCAACTGCTCCTTTTTCTTAAATTGTTTCTATTAAATCTTTTTCAGTTAAACATTAAATGTAATCTTTTTGCAATTATCAATAAAAAAATTCATTTGTGTATACATTTATGTTATGCAGCTTGCACTTAGAGCAGGCGGTGCCCCCAATGTTTATTGATGAGTATATGAAAATGTGGACATGTTTTTCCTATAAAAGCAATGCTAGGATCTCCACAAAGGTCTTTGTGCCCCGTGATATATCTGCATTGTGATTTCTGATGCCAAACTGGAAGAAGAAAGGTATGTGAAAGAAAATTTCCAAAACAGGTGAATTTAGTCATTGGCATCATCTGACATTCCTTATTCAACCACTATTCCAGTCCCAGTGCCAGTACTCATCTTCTTGCCCCAAGAATTCCGAGATAGAATCCATTCATTTTACTTTCAGCCCATGTCTTCCCTGACACCCTCACTCCTACCCCTTCCCTTTTTCCACCTCCCTTTTTTCAAAACTACAAAAGGATATGACTACCTAAATTAACTTCTTCCTGGTCCTCAATCCAATTTTTCATCATCTCCATCCTCTTATTGGGGGGATAAGGGAGCTTGAAGACACTATAATTACAATTTCTATGCCATTAAAAAAGCAAGGAATTATGAGCTATCACATAATTAACTAAAAGAATATCAGAAATGAAATATGAGTTTAGAATATGTGCATTCTATAAATATTGAAAATAAGATACCAAATTATAATTGATTACAGAGCTTATGACTATATACCTAGAAAAGCTTAGAGAATTTACTGGAAATCCATAGAACTAAAAAGAAGATATAATGTCTTGATCATTGTCAATATCTCATCAACTTTAAGAAAGTTTAAAGAGAAAGAAATCTGATTGACTCTATCCTTTCTACTGTGAAAATTGCTGACCATTTTTATTTGACAGCTGTATATTCTCCCTTAGAATTGCAGCCCTCATAAACTGCAATGAAATAAATCTAACATTATGGGGAATGTTTTGGAGCTAGGGTTATTATCACCTATGTCTTTTCAGAACTTGCACTAAGGATTATATTTCCTTGACTTAACTCCTCCATTCAGGAAACATCCTTCAGAGAATCTGATGAGTATAAGATACTGATCCAGGGAATACAGGCATCTCAGGATAGAGAAGACACAGATTCCACTTCCATCCACTTACAGACAAGGAGATCTTTTTTAAATACCTTGTTTAAAGATTTTTTTTTTTAATTCCAAATCAGAGAACAAAAGAAATCTCTGTAGGTCTTCAGGAAGAAAAATAAAGCACCCCAGGTGGGAAAAAATTGGATAGAAGGGAGAGTGTTTGAGGTGGTCCTTAGATGGTAGCATTTCTGTAAGCAGGAGTGGGAAGTCTGGGAAAGAAGCTGTTCAACTATCAACATTTGTGAGTACCTATGGCAAACCAAGCCCTGGTATTTGAGATACAAACTCTGTCCATTCTTTCTTGAAACTCATAATACAGATGGAACAAGATACTTTAAAAAAAAAATTAGAATATTCTATGAGAAGTACATTAATTTATACATGAACACACAATTATTGGAGCACAGAAAATGAACTATTCTGCCTAGAAATGTCAGAAAAACCTTCATGGAGTAGTCACATTTTATAAGGGTCCTGAAGCATCTTTAGAGATCAAAGCGGGGTTAGAAAGAGAAAAAACGTTCTAAGCAAGAAGAACACTATGAAAAAGCATGGTGTGTATAGAGAACAGCTGTTATCTCAGTGCTGCTATCCAAGTGATGAGGAGAAGTTGCAACAGATGACTCTCTTAGGCTCCGCAGGGTTCAGAAATGGCCTTCTCAAACATACTAATGAAATTGATTTTTGTCCTCATTAGGTAATGGAGAAGTATTGGAGATTTGTAAGCCAGAAAGTCAAATGGTAGAGTGGGATTTTCAGGAGATCATTTAGAGGTACCTGGAGAGGGAGAAATGAAAGCACAAAGCCAATTAAGAGGCTGCCACGTAAAGAAGGAAAACCTGAACCAATACAATGGTGTAAGACTACCAAGATTATCGTAAGCGTCAAAAGACACTTCAGATATTGGTAACTGTAGCCAGGGACTGTGGTTCTTTTAAAGGTCATAGGAGCCAGATGTGATAGCACAAACATGTAGTCACAGATACTCAGAAGCAGAGGTGGGAAGATTCTTTAAGTTCAAGACCAGCCTGAGCAATATAGTGAGACCAACACCCCACCACGCACACAACCACACCAGCTCTAAATAAATAAATAAGTAAATAAAGACCACTGGAGAGAGAAGAATAGAAAAGAGGGGCTTCATTGGGTGGTATGACAAATGTTAGCAAAAAGCAAGATATATTTTGTTCCTCTGCTTCTAAATGAGGAAACTAGGGCAGTGTATATGAGGACTCTCAAAATACTTGCAGGCCTATTTCCCATTAAGAAAGACATTTGCCCAGGCCCCATGAATTGAACTAGTTAAGGAATTTATAATTAGGGAAATAGGACAGACCTGGGGACAAAGCTTGCTTATATGCTATGAGCCTCCCCTTCTCCTTCCTCTTCATGGATATGCTCCTACCACTTTCCTTTCTACCCCGTCTTCTCTCAAAACTGTAAAGGATATGATCACCATTAATATTTTGTCATAAATCAAGGCATACAATGTTAACATTCTAGAATGTGTGCTTTTAAACTACTTCTCTCTAATTGTGGAATAAAAGTCTGTCTCTTTTGAGGCATGGTATTTCAGGAATCAAGTGAAGGAAATATTTTCCAATGTAAGGAAGAGATCTTTTTCTTGCTCTTCTGTTCGTATTGCTGTGGTTTACTGTCCACTGCAGCGTGTTGACTCTACATATACAAAATAAGCGGTTAAGCCTCTCAACAAATGGAATATTTTTAAATCTTTGCTTGTTAATATAGTAACAGTTGGTGAAATGTGTAGCTTCCACAATAAAAGCCAAATTTATGGAGGGGTTACCATGATACAGGCAAATTACTGAATAGTTCACATCTATTATCAACCTGAGGCCTCATAATAAGGTATCATTTTAATTCCATTTTACAAATGAGGAAAGTAAGGCGCAGAGAAGTTAGATAACATTTCCAAGGCCATGCTAGAAATTGAAAGACGCAGGATTTAAACACCAATTATCTGGCTACAGCACCTCAGTCTCAACCAGTGCACTAAACTGCTTCTATAGCAATGAGAACGTTTTTTGTTTTCTGAGGTAGAGTCTCACTCTGTTACCCAGATGGGAGTGCAGTGGCACAATCTTTGCTCACTGCAACCTCCACCTCCTGGATTCAAGTGATTCTCCTACCTCAGCCACCCAAGGGATTACAGGTGTTCACTACCACACCCAGGTAATTTTTGTATTTTAAGTAGAGATGAGATTTTATTATATTGGCCAGGCTTTTCTCAAACTCCTGACCTCAGGCCATCTGCCCACTTCTGCCTCCCAAAGTGCTAGGATTACAGACATGAGCCACTGCACCTGGCTGAGAATGTTTTTAAGTAGACACTGAACAGACACTATACAAAAATACCTAAAGATTTTAAATCTAAGATAATATGTGAGCTTGATCTTAGAACACATGAAAAAGCAGGGTACTTGAGTCCTCTATATTTTGTTAAACATATTTTAGAGTTTCTGAAAGCTAACTGTGGGGAGGGGGCGGGGGGGAAGGTGGTGATGGCAGAGACTTGAGAAGTAATGTGGTCCATGGCTTTTAAAATTCTCCTCTGTGGGTCAGTGCTTAATCACTTTGGCTAGGCCTTTTGCCAAGTTAGGATCTTTACCCTGACTTTTACTACTCTCCCCCAATGTTTTGCTAGTTTTGAAATGGGTGCTGTTAGCTCAAAAGCAGAGTTTTTGCATGTTGTGCTGTGGATTGCATCATAAGGTAGCAAGACTTCCCTCACAGAAGCATTTAGCAAAGGTAGAGATGGGCTATTGTGGAAGGAGTTCATGCCTACCGTAGGTTCATGGACAGACTCAAAAATTCTAAGACTCCTTTCTGCTTTATGATTTTGTATTTATCACACTATGAGTAATTTTCATATTAACACAAATATAAATACAATTTTACATGATTTATATGCTGTTAGTCATAATTAATATGAATTAATATATTTCTTGGTCCGGGCACTGTGGCTTACGCCTATAATCCCAGCACTTTGAGAAGCTGACCGAGGTGGGCACATCACAAGGTCAAGAGATCAAGACCATCGTGGCCAACATGGTGAAATCCCGTCTCTATTAAAAATACAAAAATTAGCTGGGCATGGTAGTGCATGCCTGTAGTCCCAGCTACTCAGGAAGCTGAGGGAGGAGAATCACTTGAACCCAGGAGGCAGAGGTTGCAGTGAGCCAAGATCATGACACTGCACTCCAGCCTGGTGACAGTGAGACTCTATCTCAAAAAATATACACACACACACACACATACACACACATACACACATACACACACATATATATAGTTTGTTTGAGACAAAGCCTCACTCTGTCACCCAGGCTGGAGTGCAATGGCAAGATAGCAGCTCACAGAAACCTCCATCTCCTGGATTCAAGGGATTCTCATGCCTCAGCCTCCCAAGTAGCTGGAATTACAGGTGCATGCTACCAACACTCAGATAATTTTTGTATTTTTAGTAACGATGGAGTTTCACAATGTTGGTGAGGCTGCTCTTGAACTCCTGACCCCAAGTGATCCACCTGACTCAGCTTCCCAATGTGCTAGAATTACATGGATGAGTCACCGGCACTCAGCCTGAATTAATATATTTCTGATTATTCATTCTGGTATATAATATGTCAGTGATAACCTCACAATTAAAATACATATCAAATTACTCTCGTATCTACTATATTTTCTGCTGATCTTTTTATTTGATTTTATATAAAACAAATGTGATTATATATATGGGAAGAAATAACGTAGAAATTTTAGTTCTTTAGCAGTTTAATTTTGTCTAATATGTAAGTTAAAGAAAAATAGAACTCCTCAATTGAAACAGAAACAAGCCATGAACAATGAAAACATCTGAAGTAGCTAAGCTGTGGCTCTGTTTTTAAAAAGCAAAAAAGTCTCCTTGGGAGGCCAAGATGGGAGGAACCCTAGAGGCCAGGAGTTTGAGACCAGCCTAGGCAACTTAGGGAGATCCCTTCTCTAAAACAATTTAAAAATTAGTTGGGGCCGGGCGCGGTGGCTCAAGCCTGTAATCCCAGCACTTTGGGAGGCCGAGGCGGGTGGATCACGAGGTCGAGAGATCAAGACCATCCTGGTCAACATGGTGAAACCCCGTCTCTACTAAAAATACAAAAAACTAGCTGGGCATGGTGGCGTGTGCCTGTAATCCCAGCTACTTAGGAGGCTGAGGCAGGAGAATTGCCTGAGCCCAGGAGGCGGAGGTTGCGGTGAGCCGAGATCGCGCCATTGCACTCCAGCCTGGGCAACAAGAGCGAAACTCCGTCTCTAAAAAAAAAAAAAAAAAATTAGTTGGGTGTGGTGGCACACGCTTGTAGTCCTAGCTGCTCAGAAGACAGAGGAAGGAGGACTGACTGACCCCAGGAGTTTGAGGCTGCAGTGAACAACTGATCAGGCCACTGCCTGGGACAACAGAACAAGACCTTGTCTTGCTTTAAAAAAAAAAAAAAAACTGAAGTAGAAACAGTTAAAATGATTTTACTCTTTTTTGCTGTCAACATTGTTCCAATTTTTCTTAATAAAAGCAGATATCATACCTACATTTTTATATGCTGCCAAATTATGCAGGGCTTGATAATAAATTAATCCCTTTGAAGTCACATTTGAATACTACTGTCATATTAATATTGTTTTTGAATTCTTAAAAATTTCTAAAGCTGGGGCATCTTTTTTTCTGAACCATCCCAATCCATACACCTACATAGTTCCTAAAACTAGAAAATGAGGAAAATATTCTGTAACAAAACTTATAAAAATAATTCCTACATCTGTTTCTTTAGAGTCTCATGTTCCTGATGACTTTTTCCTTCTATGACGATTTGCCAACCTTGGAACTTTTCAGTGTTTTCCCTGACTCACAGTATATTTACAGTGTGTGCCTCAGGAAGAAATATACAGCAACTATTTCTTTCTGTACTAGAAAAAAACACAGAAAAGCTAGATAACAAAAACAGATGAAGAGCCAATTTTCTTATTAACCTACATGAAGAGGATGAGTTTACTAAAAACTTATTAACTAAAAATCTATTATTTCCAACATATTCTCTTAAATTGATAGAATTGCTTTAGGCTAGTAGAGAAAAGAAATTTAAATTCTATTCCGTAATTTTACAGACTGTGCCTTATTTAAATTTGTAAAGTTTTTGACATGGTGTTAATGTCAGAAATAATATTGAATATTATCACATTAACTATAAGAAGACATTTCAGGAATTTTTTTTTGCTATTCCTAATTATAACACTAATGTATGCATTGAAATGTTATATAGACTGTGAAGATATTCATGGAAAGCTCTACAGATTTTCATCCTACAAATCACAAAGACAGTGATGTCCAGGACATAATTGCAAGATGAAGCCCCAGCCTTTTGGCAATATTCAAGGAATCTTGGAAGTTTCATTCTACTTTTAATGGAAAGAAAAATGACAGAACCAAAGTCAAAGGAGGAAAGAAAAGAGAAAACAAGTCCTGTAAGTAACAACAACAACAAAAATCGCAGGGATGAAGAAAAAAGGTCAAAGAGGAAATCACATTCTAAAATACATCTTTTCTTTCTGGCAGCAGAATTTTAACACACAAGGTCAAATTTGTGATTTTGTTAAGTAGTACTATTGATTAAGATGAGCTAGATATTTATGTAGTAAGTCAGAATTACATAAAGTATTAAAGATCTGATTGTAACTCACCTGCTTAAAAACTGTAAAAGTTTTCATTTGCCTGCAGAATAAACCT